TGCTCACCTCACACACTCTCATACAGACACACAAACGTTGCGGACAGGAGGACGACTGCTGTCTCACAGGTGTCTTGCAGCTATAAAATTTCTTCCTGCGATTCTAAAACTGAATTTAATTTGAGGAAACGTCGAGTTGTACGGAGCAACGGTTGGTTCTCGCATCACTTTGGACTTGGCAGTGTTATGACCCATGTGAACACTGTCAATGGAAATACAGGTGAGGAATGGAAAAATATCGCATACAGGTTATTACAGATTATTACAGGTAGATTTTAAATCAATAAAAAACACAAACTAATGAAATTAATATGCTTGCAATAAGGCTAGGATACTGTACATTTTTTTGTTTAGTTTTTTCAAGTTTTGCAGCTAATGTGTTTTATTGTGGATTCTTACAAATTAATAACAGCGTCTTAATATCAGCATCTTTAAGATTTTAAGTGGGCGTGTGACAATGAATGAATGTTAGCAGAAAAAAGAAAGAATATAATGTGATTGGGATAAAAAAAACAAAAAACCATCAGCATTCATATCATTACGTAGCCATGCATGTAATAAGACAAGTCATGACGTCCATGCTTTATGCTTCACTTTCAAACAATAGACAAGATGCACTGACATCACTTTTCAGACTCATATCTGTGGTATGTTATTTTAAAGGAAAGGCCAGTGAGGCTTGCACAAATACAAGTGAAGTTCAATGAATAGATAAGACCAGGACATGTTTGACAAAACATCCCTCAACACGACCCGAGTGTCAGAGCAGATCACTGGGGTTCATGTCATTTATCCTAAGGATCACGCTGATCCACTAAACGTCAACTGTGGACTCTGTTGTCAGGCACACGCTGAAATGTCACAGGGAGACACCCAGGAGCAGAGGAGCAAGGAGATGGTGGACAACATCACGGAGGAGCAATTTCTCAAAGACCTTTACCTTTTCATGAGGAAGAGAGACACACCAATAGAGCGCATCCCACATCTGGGCTTTAAACAAAGTACACGCTGACTCTGTTTTTGTTTTTAAAAGTCTTTTTTGTTTTGTTTAGTTTAGCAGAGAAAAAAAATCATACAGCAGTGGACGATCATTTTTTCATCCACAAAGAAAGAAAAAATAAATATAATAAAATACTTAATGGTTTAATTTACAGAATTTTATTAATTTTATTGGAAAAGCAGTGGAAAGAAGTAAAGACTTATTTAATCCCACACTCTCTCTATTATCTCTAAGTTTATAATAATAGTGTATTTTTGGTTTAAAAATTGCTGTATGAGTCAATACCTGCCATTAAATCTTAAAGAATGAAATCATAGTTTTGTGCTGCATTTTCACAATAATGTTCATTACCGATATTATTATTAAAGTCTGTAAGTAATTTGACTTAATGTTAACAGATATAAGGAGAAAATTGATATAAACAATTTTATGCGTTATTTAAAATTTTGGAAAGCAAACAAGTTTAAATTTAGCAGCACTTTTACTCTGAATGTCTTTAATAGCTGAGAGTAAGCATTTCTTACATTTCTGTATTCTTAGTCATTTATTATATCACCGTTAACAAAGATTATACTTATTTAACGTATGGCGTATTTTCTGTTTGTTTTTGTTTTTTGTTCCAGTTGACCTCTTTGTGATGTTCAAGACAGTGCGTGATTTGGGTGGATACCATCAGGTAACAAGTTACACCTGTCTCACAAGTCACATATTATCACGACTACTACAATAACTGTGTTTATAATATAATTGTTGTTACATTATAGTTGTTATTATAACCATTGTTATTATCAATAATAATATTAAACAATAATGTATTATTGTCAGTTAAGTAGTAACAATATAGCTGCTGTCATTGAACAATAAATGTCCAATATTAATTATTACAATCAATGAATACATCTGTACGTACTTGATAGTGTGAATACAGAAATATATGAGAAATATTAGATTGAAATTATAGATAGCAAATATAAGGACAAACGTTTCAAGTTAATAACGCCATGGGTGTGGCATGAATTCGTGTGATGTATTTGTCTTTAGGCATATGTGATATTAAGAAATAGATATAGAAATAAACATATAATTAACCTATTAAAGGTGAATTACATAATATTTGCAGGTTACTGCTCAGCAACTTTGGAAACAGGTTTACAACAGGCTTGGAGGAAATCCTCGAAGCACCAGCGCTGCTACGTGTACTCGCAGACATTATGAAAAGTAGGTGCAACAATGCATGTCTACACCCACTGAGACTGTACTTTGATTTTTATTTTAACACATTCATCTGTTATGTCTATAGGTTGCTCCTGCCCTACGAATGTCACAAGAAAGGCATAATGATGAAGATCTTGCCTCAGCACCAGCCAAAGTTTTTTCACGAAGCTGGTTCCAGCCAAGACAGCAACAGCAGTCCAAAAGGAGTCAAACGTAAACTGCTGACTGGACAGCTACACCCGGTTGGTCCTTTTTTTTTTTTTTTTTTAATAACACAATACAATTAATAACAGAAACACAGGTTCCTGCAAGTGTATGTTTCAGGGGGTTGGGGTGTGGGTGTTTGTTTTAAATAATGCCAATAATGAAGGGCTATACGAGATATGTATATCTATACATATAAATACCAACATTGTCAATATATATATATATATGTAAAGAGAAAGATGGAGAGACAGATACGGAGACACAGAGAGATGCTACACATGTCTAACTGAAGTCCCTTTTGCTGTGTTTGTTTCCACAGAACACTCCTCAACTCCAGACAGATCCACATGGAAAAGTTTTCCCCGTCGGACTTCACTACCCTCCGTACTTTCATCCAGGCCCCATACCGTTGTCCCAGTACACCCCACATTCTTCTTCTGTTTTGGTTTCACAAAGGCCTCCCTCTCCTGAACCCCCATTTGTTTCCCTTCCACATCATCTAATCCCAACAGACAGGATGAAGGAGCCACTGGAGCACTTGCGCCACCTGGCAGAACAGTACAAGAACTCCTCTGGACTGGCGGAGCCACTAAATCTCAGTGTTAAAGCACCGCGTTATGAGATCAACGTGAACCCTACCTCCTCCTTCGCCCCACCTGTATCTAGCAAGAACCCTAAATTCTTAAATAAACCCTCCCCTCTGTACACTGCTCTACATCCACAGGTGTTGAGAAACGAAAACGAAAGCGAAACACATGAAGCTGAAGCCGACATCACGGCAAATCCTATTCTGGTTAAAGAAGGCGGGGCATATGTCATCAATGTCAAAGCCGTAACAGCCACCAGCAGCCCCACACCTGACTGTCCAGCCACAGTTAGTGTAAATGCAGTCACCACAGCAGAGGCACAAAAACCAAGGTCCCCAAATCCAGAATTCTCAATGCAGGCGAAAGAAGAGGGGGGCACCATGGAGGCCGCAGGACTCAATCTCAGTCATTTCCTTCCAGGCCTACCTCAAAACAACAAAGGCAAGATGGAAATTGAAATTCCACTTTCAATGCTTCAAATGTGGCTCAAGCTCTGTGGGCCGTCAGCAGTGATGAATGCAGCCAACCAGCCTCCTTGTGGTCTCACACCTGAAAGGCTGATCACACAGAGAGCCAGCTCGGACCCAGACGTCCTTCCTACCAACCTGTCACGCAGAATTGGGCTGCAACACTGGGGTCTGTCAGCTCCTGAGGATCTAAGGCTAAGGCACAAAGTTGAAGCTATCTCTACACCAACAACCCACACAGCAGCCCACAACAGTACGAGTCAAATTCATTTCAACAGCTACAAGGCTTTGTCTTCAAGCAGTGTCCTGAAAAACAATGTCAACCAGGAGCTCTTTCTATTAGACCGGCAGGATAATGTTGTGTCATGTAATTCAAAGACAACAAATTGCTGGAATGGCTACGACAAAGACAATCAAGCCTCCCACAGCCAGGTCAAATCTGACTTCACCGCTCCTAGAGGTCAGCAAGACTTTCCGGTCTTCATTGAAAACACACACAGAGATAGGTTAGAGTCAAACCATTCAGGAATGGTCAGAGATCCTAGTTCTGCGTTGTTGCACCTGACACCTGAAGAAGTCATGAAGCTAAAAAAGATCATCTCAAAGTCATTGTGAAGACCATCTGAGATTTGAGAAGACAGTTTGAGTCAAACTCTCTATGTTGGTATTTGGGTCATTAAAATGATTAATAACAACTTTATGTTCACAACATTAAGTATGCACTATTGGTCACTATTGTTTTTTTTTTCTTTTAATAATAAATGTTAATATTGTTTCTGTACAGAACCTCTGTTTAACTTAATAAAAAAACTATAATACTAAGGTGTGTATAATTTACAACAAACTAAAAATAGTTTAATATATTGCGGAAGCACTTTTTCACATTTCATAAGTAACTTTGACGAATGAACGATAGATCATTCATCGCAATTACTTGATGCACTTGTACCAATATCCTATTTTCAATTGTGTTCTCACGGAAATCAAGCACTGTTTTTGATACCTCTCTAGGGTTGGCTTTCAATAAATATGCAAAGAACTGGAAGGAAGCACAATAGAGTTGGCACAACAGTGGGTAATAAGATGATGAGTTCAACACAAACCATTGCAAAGACACCAAGCAGGAACAGAAGTCCGCCAAAAGGGAAACAAAAAGTCATCAAACTGATACTGTTGTTAGTCAAGTTAGACGTTGTGTCGGTAAAACTAACAATAACTATAGTGCAGTGGTTATCAAGCCTGCCTTACGTATCTGCCTCCTGGGTTAGAGCCCCAGAGGAACCACATACTTAACAGTGCCCCCTGTGGCAACCTGTGGGGCGTGCAAAGACTCACACTAAATTTTGCCATTGTGGGACTTCATTTAAATCAATAAAAAAAAATAGTAGTTAAAAAAGTAAAAAATAAAAACAACTTAAACTCTAAATAACTAACACAACCAGATGAACAGAAAGTGAGCAGAGCTTTCACACCAACAGCATACATTAAAATTGAAAATGCTTTCGCTAGCTCAGATGAACAGAAAGTGAGTAGAGCTTTCACACCAACAGCATGCATTAAAATTGAAAATGCTTTCGCTAGCTTTCCACTAATCAGTGTCACTCAAACTGATCCACACTTTTTTCATGTATTAATGCTAACATACCATGTTGGCTAAATACGATGTTAGCTCTACATAACAGTTTATGTGTTAACGTTAGTTCATAGATCGTGCAGACCAAAATTTGTACACCTGCATATGTAAGGAGGACACTCCCTTCTCTATGTCAACCAGGTTGATGCATCCACTCTCCCCACATCTCTGAAAAAAAAAAAACCAAAAACAAACAAACAAAAAAACAAAAAAAAACGCAACAGGCATTCTTATAAAGACAGCATCTGTTTTTTTGTTTGTTTGTTTGTTTGTTTTAATCTCAGAACACCCTAGTGGCAGCCACCACACTTTTGGAATTGCTGCTCTAATTAAAGAAGATTAATGAGATCCAGCCCTCTTCCACATTTAGGTCACTGCATTTGGCATAATGCCTGGCATGTAACAAATCAGTCTCAATGATAGGTCAACACCTTAAAGAAACAGACATCAAGGATCTCTTTATCCCAAATATCCCACAAACAGAGGATCCATCTGCTCAGCGTCCAGGCTGTCAACTGTTTGCCTTCAGCGAATATTGGTTTGATCCATTTGAATGCCTTTTTGTTGGTAATTACTATAATTAAATTTTTTTTATTTTGTTTGGAATTTTGAGGTGTGACAACTTTGTGATCACATTGTTTTGTTGGTTTACTATGGTCCTTATTTGCATATACCCCAGTTTCCACTATGTCATAAACCCGAGGGTAATTGTGTCACTTAAGAACAGCTAGAAAAAAAAGAATAATTAAAATCACAAGTGAGAATCTCTGAGTTCTAAATGGATTAACCCTTGTTTAACATGGACATAAAAGTTGTTGCATTTGCTCACATTCTATCGCACGACTCAGGACCACACTTCACAGTATGACAAATGCACATGAGCACACATCAAAATATTACGCATTGGGTACATGTCTGTAAAATGTTTATTTTATTGATCAAACTTGGCAGTCGTTAAACTGCAATTGTTCAAGCACACGCCTAAGTTTAATTGTTCTAATATTGTAACTAATTATTTGTCTTATGTGGTTATGGTTAGGGAATGTTGACCTGTTACATGTGTGTTGTTATGTTTGACTTTGGTTTTGATTTGTTGATCACACATAGGTCATAACTGATTTTATTGTAGTAAAATTAATATTGTTCTATTCAACTCAAATACTAAATATTTAATAGATTCTGGTTTATCATTCATAAAGGCTCTAAGGCCGGGTGGCCCAGTGAGGGGAGTTTGAGCTCCAATAGTTAATTTCAAAGGGAGTACTGGTAGGTCATGATAATTATTAAAATAAAAAATAAAAATATATAGGTGTCATTCTATATTTAAATTTTAGTAACCATGCCTCAATATATACTAATATGTAAATATATATTCAGTTTATATGAGTAAATGTATTGACTTAATATTATCAATGTAGGCCGATCATTTTCAAGCCTTGTCTTTAAAAATTAGCTCCCATGTCAAAATGTGTGGAACGTTCACATGGTTTATTATTAGATAGTGGATATTGGTGCAGTGTCGCTGTGGAAGAGTCATATGTCACACATAAGCTGTAATTACATATTCAGACAGAGTGTCTTGTTTGGTTAGTCAAGTTGTTAATTCCCACATTCTTTGGACAGAAACAACAAACAGAGCAGCAGTCACAGACTGTTCTTTCATGAACCGTACGAGGTCAAAAGGCCATCTGCTCAACACTGCTATAACTCTAACACACAATTATCCATTTATACACAGTTAAATGGCCGCTGCCATCAAAACCAAATGTTGATTTATTAGTTTAGTACACATGAACGAGTGGAACTTTCAGTCAGTACGTCATGTTGTCGGAAGCCAAAGATATTGTGATGGAAGGTCATGTGTTGGTCGTCATGTGTGGAAAAGTCCAGAAGTTTGTTTAAATACCTCCAGGAGAACAGGTTGCGCTGGAGACTTTGATAGTCGATATATTTGAGGTTTGACTCCAGCATTGACAATGGCAGCTCTGTGTATGGCTGATTACTTCGTCATACGCTTATGTCCCTGATGAACTTTTAGGCCTATTTATGGCTGGAAATCAATCATACGCTTATGTCCCTGATGAACTCTGTGTTTTAGGCCTATTTATGGCTGGAAATCATCATGTTTATGGTTATATTTAATCATTATTTTAATTATATGAATAATAATCATGATAATATATATTAATAATAAATGTTATTAGTAGCACAGCAGTAGTAAAATAAATGTATTATCAGTATTTAATATTAAAATTTGTGTACTCTTGGTGCTTCAGTTGTTTATTTTAATTAATAATATTTTTTAACTATAAAAGCAGATTGTTTTATACGGTTGAATATTATAGATATATAAAACAAAACAAACTAACAAAAATTCAGTTAAATGGTCAAGCAAGAGAAGAACTGACCTAATGTATAATGTTTACTCGTCGTTGGTCAACTAATTATCAGCCACTGAGTTGTTTGCATCTAATATATATCATGATAATAATCTCTGTTTATCACAGACTGGATAATTAATTCTGTCATTTAGAGAATCTTAAAGAAAACATAGATGTTGCACTACTTAATGCAAACAATAATAGGTAACAAGAGGTAATTACATAAAATGAGCAATAAGTGCAAAAACTACTTGAAGGGAAATATATTTATTTGAAACTATATATTTGAATTTTGAATTTCTTTTAAGCTCATTATTTACATATGAGCTTAAAATGTGTACTATACTTCGTGGACTGCTTTAATGGTTATTTTTAATGGCCAAATACAACTAGTAACCTACCACACGAGCACAATATATTTGTATGTATTTTGGCTGTTTGATTAAAATTTTTAATCCAATTAATTACAAGGCAGCTGCAGATTAGTTATGATTAATCATGGTTAAATTGTCAATAATAAATAATACAAAGACCTTGATTTCTGTGTATTGCTTGAACAGAATGATCAATAACAGCAAGTGGATATCTATGTTTCATATATATTTATATATACAGTACATATAGAGTATGTGTGTATATGTTTATATATAGATTTTTATTTATACATAAATATTTTCCCCCAGCATGTGCAAATAACAAATATATGTATCAACTTAAAACAGTGATAAATGGATAGATGGTGAAATTCATGGATACATAGACCACTTTCAGTTTTCATGCACTCTTAACAAAAGTACTTCCTGTGATTTGACCTTTAGGGTCATGACATAGATAGACTTTTCAACGTGAAACAAAGTGGGCAGGCCAAAATGTGGAAATGACAGAAACAAACAAGCAACAACGGTGGAAAGAAGATTGTCTTTTAGAAGGCATATTCAACCATCAACGCTGTATGGCTGGCGTTGATGGTATCAAAAAACTCCACCTCAACTGTCAACGTGAACTGACTTACAGCTACTGGCTCATGTCATTTAACCAGTATAATGACATGAGTCACTCAATCCCCAAACAAAAGGGCTCCTTCACAGCACAGCTTTATTTTACATGAACTCAAATCAGAAGGAGGAAATGAGTAGTGCAGTCAGCCTAACAGGAACATTTTAACAAACCATAGGGCATGCTGGGAATTTACCTTACACACCCAAAATGAACTTTATGATGTTTATCGGAGAGGAAATAAAGTTGAAGGTGTGAATTTTAAATGACAAAATCAGAAACACATTGTTTTTAAAAGAAAGTAAAAAAAAAATTAAGTGTTGTATTGTGAAAATGAATGAAGTCACACATTTCTGGTGACCCCTGGGACATGGTTTTGGTCATGTTGGTTATAGTGTGTTACTGTGTTGTGAACACATAGTAGCCAGATTAGTGGGTGTGATGTTTTATTATAATTAAAAAAAATATATTATTTAGAATTTTATGAGTAATTTTTTTCAAAAATCAATTACTAGACATTTCAGGCGACCCTATTTGAGTTCCAGGCAACGAGTTCAAGGTTAAAAACCATCGCTCTAGGAGGGGAAAAGTACGCCCACTGTATCCATGATCATAGCTTGACTTTGAGACATAACTATGGGAAAACTGAAAATGTGTATCTGAAAATCCACTCAGGATAATGCTTTAATCACATGCTCACATCTTTAGGAGCAGGTCAACT